TAAGAGACATTGAAGGAAGGGAAACTATGAATGCAGATGCCACCCCTCCTTCACAGCAGCCCTTCCTCCTTCCAGGCCTCCCCCCCACCCCACCATGCCTCCTAGCTCTCCTCCTCTTCTTACTCTCATCAAATATTTTACATTCTAACCATGCCATTTTTAGGAAGCTGAAAGTTTGCTCTAGAAATTAAATGAATGAATAGGAGCTTTCACCTGATTATCACAACCCTGTTCTTTAGGAATTGGATTTAAAAATCTCCAAGATGGAACGTATTTGCCAGGAGTGATCGCCAACCCAAACGCATCTCTTCATGTGACCCCAACTGCTTTATGCTCAGAGAGAGGAGTCAGGGAAAATAAATGTGAAAATGGTGCCTAAGCAAGTGACTGGCATCCTGCAGCCTCTTAAGTAGCCAGTTCCTTGTTTATATAGCAAGACATTTATAACATTTTTTCTACAAAGTTCCGTTAGCAAGTTTGTTTTCTTGTCTAAATTAACAGGAGATCTGTATCAGGTCAATTTATTTTATTGACTTTTAACATGAAGGAATCAGCTGTGATATTATATAATTGCCCTGTTTGGATGATCACATCAAACTGGTAACAGTTGCTGACAGATGAACCCAGGATTAGGGATTAGGGGTGGGAGGTGAGGATAGGGGGTGCAGCTAGGAGCAGACGTGGGCTTGGTCAAGTCACTTCCGTTTCCCAGAGCCTGTTTGTTTTCTGCAAAATGAGGTGATTAAATAAAGGACTTCTGGGACTTGTCCACTTCTCCCAGTCTACATTACCTTTGCTCTTACAGAACTCACATTTTAGTGGTAGATATAGGCAAGAAAACAGACAATTATAATATAAATGCTAAAACAGGGAAAACATTTAATGTTATGAAAGTAAAGAAGAAACATAAGTAATCAGGTTTTAGAGAATCAGAGGTCATATGATATAAAATCCCCATGAATAAGATTTCAATTTTTAAAAAGTTCTCCCTCTTAAAACAGTTTAATACTTTTGGACTAGGAGTCAAATGCTATTGTTATAAGATATGGAAAGAAGATTTAATTTAATGCAATGATGATCTATTATGAGTCCTGGAGTAACACCCTTGGAGTTTATTTTAATAGTCCATGGAATGATATAATACGGTATAATCTGAAACTGCCTCCTGGGAACATGTTAAAAGCGAATAGTATCATTGTTTGGAATATTGTATGTAATACTATAACTCACTTAATTCTCGTTTTCATTTGTTTTATTTGTTGCCTTGTTTTAGTCATCTAAGGAATATTTTATCTTTCTCATAACATATAGAATCCTAATAAGTTTTAACTGAAATGTTATTTCTCTTTTGTGTAAGTGATCAATACATATACTTCTCTTCTTGAGAGCTAAGTAATTCATATATTGATTTAATATTTCTGTGGGATTTTTTTCCTAGCCACAGTCAGAGTGGAAGTGGAGGTAAGCCAATGCTTTTTAAATTACTTTTTACTGAAATATAATATTTATGCATATTTATGGAAGTGTGCTGTAATATTTTTTTATATGCATAGAATACATAATGATCAAGCCAGTGTATTTAGTATATTCATCACCATGAACATGTATCATTTCTATGTGTTGAGAAGATTTCAAGTCCTCACTTCTGGCTATTTTTAAATGTGTGATCCGTTATTGTTAACTGTGGTCACCCTACTCTGCTGTTGAGAATTGAAATTATTCCCTCCTACTGTACGTTTGTGCCCATTAACCAAGTTCCCTTCTTCTCCTTCTCTCCCACCCCCCGTGCACCCTTCCCAGCTTCTGGTATCTATCATTCTGCTCTCCTCCTTCATGAGATCAACTTTTTCAGCTCCCACTTGTGAGTATGTACAATATTTGTGTCTCCACGTCTGGCTTAGTTCATTTAACATACGGACCTCCCATTCCATCTATGTTATTGCAAATGGAATGATTTCATTCTTTTTCTTGACCAAACAGTATTACATTGTGTAAATATACCACACTTTTTAATCAATTCACCTGTTAATGGTCACTTGAGTTAATTCCATATCTTTACTGTTGTGACTAGTGGTGCAATAAACACAGAGCTGAAGATATCTTTTTTTTTTTTTGAGACAGAGTCTCACTATGTTGCCCTCGGTAGAGTACGGTGGCATCACAGCTCACAGCAACCTCAAACTCTTGAGCTTAAGTGATTCTCTTGCCTCAGCCTCCCAAGTAGCTGGGACTACAGGCACCCACCACAATACCTGGCTTTTGTTGTTGTTGTTGCTGTAGTTGTCATTGCTGTTTGGCAGGCCCTGGCTGGGTTCAAATCTGCCAGCCCCAGTGCATGTGGCCAGCGCCCTAGCTGCTGAGCTATAGGCACCAAGCCCATGTATGCTTTTAATATACTGTTTTCCTTTCCTTTGGATAAATACCCCCATTAGTGGGATTGCTGAATTGTGTGATGATTCTATTTTTTGGTTGTTTTTTTCATAACTCTCCATACTGTTTTCCATAATGGCTGTGCCAATTTACACTCCCACCAACAGTGTCTGAGAGTTCCATTTTCTCTGCATCCTTACCAGCATCTATTATTTTTTGTCTTTTGATAGTAGCCATTCTAACTGGGTGGGTTGGTATCCCCTCCTGCTCATCATGGGTTTAATACGCATAGTGATGTTGACCATTTTTTCATCTACCTGTTGGCCATGTCCATGTCTTCATTTGAGAAATGTCTATTCAGATCCTTTGTCCACTTTTAAATTTTTGTCTTTTTTTTTTTTTTTGCTGTGGAGTTCCTGGTATTGTCTGGATATTAGTCCTTTCTTAAATAAGTAGTTTGCAAATATTTTCTCCCATTCAGGAGGTTGTCTTTTCACTCTGTTGGTTGTTCCTTTTGCTGTACAGAAGCTTTTTAGTTAACATTCTCCATTTGTCTGTGCTTTTATGCCTCAGACATAAAATCTTTGCCTAAACCAATGTCCTAAAAGTATTTCCTCTATGTATTTTTCTAATACTTTCAATAGTTTCAGGTCTGACATTTAAGTCTTTAATCTATCTTAAGTTGGTTTTTGTCTATGGTAAGACATAGGGATCTAGTTGTATTCCTCTACATATAAATATCTAGTTTTCCCAGCACCATTTATTGAAGATAATGTCCTTTTCCCAAACTATGTTACTGGTGCCTTGTCAAAAATGAGTTTGCTGTAAAACTGTGGGTTTACTTCTGGGTTCACTATTCTGTTCCATTGGCCTATGTGTCTGTTCTTATACCAATATCACACTGTTTTGCTTACTGTATGTTTATAAAATATTTTGAAGTCAAGTAGTGTGACACCTCCAGCTTTTTTTTTTTTTGCTCAGGATTGCTTTACCAATTTGGGCTCCTTTCTTGGTTCCACATTAATTTCAGGATTTTTTTTATTTCTGTGAAAAACACTTATATTTTTATAGGTACTGCATTAAATCTATAAACTGCTTTGAGTAGTATGGTCATTTTAACAATACTAATTCTTCTAATTCATGAACATAGGAAGCGCCACACTTTCTTTTTTTTTATTATTAAATCATCGCTGTGTACTTTAATGCAATCATGGGGTACAATGTGCTGGTTTTATATACAATTGAAATATTTTCATCAAACTAGTTAACATAGTCTTCATGGCGTTTTCTTAGTTATTGTGTTAAGACATTTATATTCTATATTTAGTAAGTTTCACATGTACCCTTGTAAGATGCACCGTAGGTGTGGTCCCACCAATTACCCTCCCTCCACTCCATTACCCTCCCTCCACTCATCCTTTCACCTCCCCTCCCCTGCCTTTCCCCTTTCCCCATATTCTTGGGCTATATAGTTTCATAGTAGGGCTGAGTACATTGGATACTTTTTTTTTGTATTCTTGAGAAACTTTGCTAAGAAGACTATGTTCCAGCTCCATCCATGTAAACATGAGGAAGGTAAAGTCTCCATCTTTCTTTAAGGCTGCATGATACTCCATGGTGTTCATATACCACAATTTATTGATCCATTTATGGATCAATGGGCACTTGGGCTTCTTCCATGACTTATCAATTATGAATTGGGCTGCAATAAACATTCTGGTACAAATATCTTTGTTATAATGTGATTTTTGGTCTTTTGGATATATAGCTAGTAGAGGAATTGTAGGATTGAATGGCAGGTCTATTTTCAGTTCTCTAAGTGATCTCCAAACATCTTTCCAAAAGGAACATATTAATTTGCATTCCCACCAGCTATGTAGAAGTGTTCCCTTTTCTCCACATCCATGTCAGCATCTCTTAGGGTAGGGCAGGAAGCCCCACACTTTCATCAGCAGCTTCTAATTAAGTCTTCAATATTTTTGTGTATTTCAATGACAGATAGTTTACAAGATAATAAATAAAATCTTAATATGATCTGAAAAACACTAGCCTGGGAGCTAGTGACGTCGACTCTAGACTGGGGCACCAAGAGATTCTGAGCAAATCCCTTCTTTCCTCCAAGTTTGTGATGTATCATTGGATGGCCCCACTCCAATGTGCTCAGTGAAGTCTTGATTTACACCAATCGAGCACAATTATTAATAATAACAGCACCCCCTTTCACCTTCAGAAGTATCCTTGTTTGGACAACAACTTATATGTTTCTTTAAGTATGATTCCTAAAGACCCCTATATTTCTCAGCAACAAAATAAGGGATTTGAACTAAAACCTTGGTGCTAACATTCTCATACTAAAAGTCAAAATACAAATTCATTGTACTTACTTTTACACATAAAAAGTACTCATTAAACACTCATTAAGTAAATATTTGTCAAACAGCAAGGTTCTTGAGGAATCTGTGGCAACAAATGAAATAGGAGTTTAACTTTAAAAAATACGCATTAAAAAGGTTACCATTCATTTCTTTCCTTGTTTTAACCATCATCAAAGTTTACAAATTTACCTTTCATTCCATTTCATTTATATTTTGATCAGTATCTTTTTCTGAATGTCTCCTCACTGTTAATTAGATTTTTTTATCACCTCCTCACTTCTCTCTTTACACAACAAATATTTAACTCTATCCCATATTCAATTTTACTTTTTCTTGTGTTTATTCTCCCCCATTCCTTTCAACTCAGAAAAGCACAGTACCTCTAATAACCTCTAATTTTCTATGGTCATTTCAGCCTTAAAAATTCCTCACAAAATGACCAGGAGAGCAATAATTCTATGAAAGTATATGAATAATAATTATATGAAAGAGGTTTTTTGCTTAAATGGTCAATATGAAAGAAAGACAGTTTATGCAATTAAACAAGGAA